ATTTAAAAATAAATTCGTTGTGATTACTTTATATTTATTACAAATATTAGAAGAAGTATTTTGTATATTTTCTACCCATCGTTTGTGTTTGTGTATTTCTGAAATTGTATTGAAGTGTATTTCATTTGTTTATAAAGTTCAGTTCTGTGGCACCCCCTACAAAATTTTCCCAACCCTCCAAGTCCTTAATCTGGCCATGATTATAAATATGTTTTATCAAGAGTCACTCAATGGATTTAACTATACTTGAGCAATTCCACAGCTCACAAAAATAACCATCAGAATAACCCTTTCAGTAAATATCGAGAAGTAATTTTCAGTTTTACTTCGCGGTATCAGATCCAGATGAGTTATTGCACACGACATGTTATATAGCTGTAATGTCTGTAGCGTGAAAACCGGCTTATGTAAAAACACGCCCTCAGAACAAAGTAAAACAGAAAATACTATTTACTACAGGAGGGATTGAATGACGCGTCTTTACGAATCAAATTGGCTAAGCTTCGTCAAGCATGAAACTCACGTGTACGAATCAGATGAGTTGAAATATTGGCCATTCTATGGTCTGTTAAGTGAGAAAACGACCAGTTCGACACGTGCATAAAGGCTCCACAAATGTGAAATCGTCTGTGAATACACAAATTATCTACAGCCACACTATAGTTTTTTCCTTGTTTTTTAATTTTCATCAGATAGTTAATGCCTCAAATTCTTGATACTTGCTTTAAGAATGAGCGCTCTTCCATGGACAAAAGAAATTGATGGATTACGCAGATTCATTTTCCTAACCCAAAATGTAATTAAACAGAAACATATACTAAGCTTTTTTCCGTCATATTCACAAAAAATATGCAACATGTTGAAGACAAATGTAAACACTATCGTCACGACAACAAAGTCAGATTTATCAAATAAATGAAGTAAATATTAAGGAGCATATACCTTAAGACTAATCAATTGCTTCATCAGTAGGATAATTTGAAAGTCTTTTATATGTATTAATTAAAGATAACTATACAAAATCTGCAATTGCGTATTAGTTCCTACTAGATGGCGCCACTAAAAGTAATTGTGCCAAATCTGAAGAGTTGCTAAATAATACCTGTGTGATATTTTGCACACTTTTTGAGACTTTAAATTTATTGTTTTTAATAAACTACTTAAGTTATTTTTATTTTATGTTTCATAATATGCTGTGTTCGATTCTACGTTTCTAGAACTGCAAAATGTGAGTTAGTAAATTTGAATTTTCTAACTATCTATACATTAAAATAACATTTCAGCATCAGTAAGACTTAATAACTCCAGTTTACAAGGACTGTTTTCGCCTGTACTATGTCCATATAATTTCAATAATATTCTATGAATATAGTTAATGGAAAAATGTAGGGAAAATTCACTATATGTATATCATTAGATACATGATTATATTTAAATATAATATCGAACATCTTTCATGCGTTACAGTTATATATATATATATATATAACATTCAGAACAGCGTTAGCGATACTGTTTCTAAAATGAACCTACACTCTTTATCATGTTAATAACAAAGGATATTGTTCTAATAACGTACGTGTAGATAAAGCCGACAATAGAGAATGATTAACTAGTGAATAGTAGAACAAATCTGAGAAAAATTAATTGATGAAGTACCCTTTGAAGTTTGTCAGCATAATTGGGGTCACAATGTGTAGGTCCTTAGCCATTTTAGACAACCATTATCACTGTTACATCAATTAAACATGTCTTCAACTTTTTACTTGTTGAGATGAAAAACATCTTACATTTATTGCCACCCCGTAGCTCAGCAGCTAATCTGTTGGCTTATATCGCTAAAAACTGTGTTTCGACACCCGTTCTGGACACAGCACGAATAACCCATTGTGTAGCTCTGTGTTTAACAACAAACAATATCTTACCTTAATCATAAAATCAGTAATTTAAAAAATAAGATAAACGCTAAGAACTGAATGAACGAATCCGGAATATAGACTGAAACTTATAAATTTGTCACCAAATCTAACATACAGATTTCTAAATTCTCTTGCTAAGAACGAATTCGGAATCGAAACTAAAACTATAAGATTGAGAGTTAGTTTTGAATATTGAGCAAGACAATGAAATGGGAGTATTACATGCGCTAATGTATAACTTGCACGATCCATGAACATATTAATTCTTAGCTCTTATCTAGGTATGAAGTACAAGGTATTAGGTAATCTATATTTATAAAAGTAAAAAAAAAAAATATTTGTTTGTTTGTCCGCGCACTACTCCGTGGTCTTTGGACCAACCTCAACCAAACTTGATAGGATGATACATTGGACTGAGGAGTATGTCATAGGATGGTTATTACCCGGCCTTACCCAACCTGGATCACGCATGTAGCAAAACTACGTATATTTAGCTAATGATTCCACAGTCTTGGAACAATTTTTATTTTTTAAGGTTTTTATATTGAGTTTTTTTTCTTGGAACGTTTTTTTATAGTTTATCTTGGAAAATTTCGATGTTCTTTTGATTCAAAATGTCAAAATTCACATTTTTGCCAGGAAAAATGGCAATCAAAGCACAAGGTTAGACCCTTAAATTGGCAGGGCTACATTTGAAAACTCCTTGTTTTTCACATGGTCAGTTCTTTGTTGAGCATTTAAGAGTAGGATCACCAAGAAATATCTTTATTTATACCCAGGAAGGTAGAACTTCTAATGTGGTGTATCAAGAAGCATTCAGGGTATCAACGAACATTGAGGCTGTAGAGAGGGATTAGTAAAAGTAAGATAGTAATTGTAACACCATTTCTATAATGTAGAATAAAGTAGGTGGGAAATGAATCACGCATATAAGTAAAAATTATTGATTTACTTTATTAGTTCAAGCCATACATTCAATCCTTATGCCCTTAGACGTAGGACGGGTGCCTCAGCTAATGATTAAATATTTTACAATAAATCAAACTTAGTAGGTCAGGAGCTGCTAAAAATATGAAAGACTCTCTAAATAAAAATATTAATAATAGTAAAGTTTGGCCACTTGACCATAGCTTATTAAAAGGCCAGTAATAACAGTTTGTATTAATGCCGATTTTTAGGAAACGCTTAAGCATTTTTCTTTCAGGAGGTAGATAAATAGTGAGAATTACAAAAGGAAGAAATACAAATAGCACAGTAATTACTGTAGAGATATTTGATATCGCCTCTCCCCCAGTGGCACAGCGACAAGTCTGCGGACTTATAACGCTAAAATCCGAGTTTCGATACCTCTAATGGAAACAGCACAGATAGCCCATTGAGTATCTTTGTGCTTAACTGCAAACAAACAAACAAAATAATCTCGTCTCTCGTTGACCTCTTTCAAAACTTTATCCGCCCCCCCAGTGGCACAGCGGTATGTCTGCGGACTTATAACGCTATAAACCGGGTTTCGATACCCGTGGTGGGCAGATCACAGATAGCCCTTTGTGCTTAATAACAAACAACTACAACAAAATATTATCCTTAAGTTTTTGATTGATAATTTCTAACCTACAATAATAAACTTCAAAATGTGCTTACAAATAAACCTTAAGAATTATGAAAAAAAATTATTTTAATTACTTAACGAAGAAAGTAATTTTCTTTTCTTTTAGCCATGTATACTGTAGTTTTCTCTGTCAAGGCTGACACACACACAAATAACACATCTACTATGACGTATAAGAGAAATCTAAACTTGGTGTGTTAACTCTTGTTGTAAAAATACTTGTACAGAATACTGCGCCGAGTAGTTTTTACAATTAATAATTTTGTTTTTGATCACTTTATGGAATCAATGTCGAAACATAACAGTAAACGGCTGTGTGTGTGCGTTTGGCAAGCACTCTATTTTCTTAAAGTTTGTTTCGTTAATAATGTTGTTTAAAGTAGTTGTGAATATTATTATTTATTACTGTTATAATCATTATTAATTTTTACGCTTATGAAGATAATTTTGCATTGTGAGTTTAGTTCGTGGACTTAGGACAAGCAAGCCTCATAAACTTTTGTGAACATCGTAAGATATTATTGGGTTTGTTTGTAGCGCAAAGCTATACAATTTTGAACTGATAAACTACAGGAGAGGCAGCTAGTAAATAGCATTCACCGCCAACTCTTAGGCTATTCTTATCTGATCGAATAGTCAGATTAGACCGTCACAACATGCTCACGGCTCTAAAGTGCGGAGCCTGTTTTCGCGACAACAAGCCTCGAACCACGAACCTTCGGATTCACAACAGTTGAGTACTAACCATAAGGTCACACCCAGTCCACTATTATTGAGATTACAGGTTAGGGTATCGTTAATAGCGAGGGTAGTCACCTAATGATTCAAATAATGCATTCTAATCATTGTGGGTTATAGTTTTATGTATTGATTTTTGTCATAATATATTTCTAGTCAGTTGGTTCAAGTAGCTTCGTTAATCCAAATTTTTTTTTTAGTTCTGATCTAGTTAGCTTACTTTTGATCAGAAGTTACTGATAATTATCACACTTATTACACAAATATAGCTAGGTCTGTTTTGGTTGTTGTTAAGCACAATGGTACACAAGTGGCTATCTTTGCTGTGCCCACTGAGAGTATCGAAACGCGATTTTTAACATAATAAACCTTCATACTTACCGCTGAGCCACAGGGAGTGACAAATATAGCCCTTTTTTTTATCAATTTGAGAACTTCAAAAACTTTAAGAATCAATTCACAGGACGAAATGAACCTTTCTCGTTCTGGAAGAACTATCGGTGGGTGTTTTTATTAAATGAATAATTGTTGCTTATTTGGGTAACTGTGGATTTCGTATGCGGGCTGATATCTCGGATGTTTTAAATTAAACCAATACATTGCAGGTTGTTTGAAACTGTGTTTATATCAGACAATAACGTTATCACGTTGTATTTTTCTACGCTCCAAACCAGTTCATATATGGATATCGTGTTATCGTCCATCCGGGAATTTTCAGTCAGTTCAAGGCTAAATAGAGTCAGGTGCGTCAGTAATATTGTTAAACGTCGGTAGAACAACAACAACATTTACCGGTTCTTTCTCTCCTCTCAAGTGTTAGCTTAACATACTGCTAATATAAAATGTTTCGTAAGGATGCAGATGTAAAGAAATATTTATTAGACGTTCGGCTAGCAACAAAGGCAATTCACGCAGGTCAGGATCCTACAGAGTGGAGGTCACGAGCTTTAGTCCCACCCATTGTGACAGCAGCTACGTACGCTTATAAAGAAAATGATGAGCCAATGGTAAGTTTAAAACACTGTCGACAAAGTTTCGTTTTAAATAATTATCTCTCTCTCTCTCTCTCTCTATATATATATATATACACACATGCATACATGTATTTATGACTAAGAGATAAAGATTCTTATAACGCAGGTGGTACTATAAGAACCATTTCTCGTTTAGGCGTTGTATCAATCTTTTGTAACGTACTAATCAATGACTGTGTTCAGCAAGTAATTATATACAAAACTATTCTGTTAGAGAGTCCGCCCACTATGCAGATGTACATCCATAATCATCAACCAAAGATAATAACAGATTGGGGTTTTTCGGGTATCCAGAACAATGTGAAAACAGCTTAAGCTGCAAAATTCAAACATCTCTGTCTAAATCAAAATATCATGCAGTGAATAATTAAGCAAGAAATATTTTGAAACGCTATCTCTGTATAGCATTTTGTGTATTTAAGGGCATTACTTAAACTTTTTTTTTCTTCGTCTAGAGTAAGAAAGCTAGAAAACATAAAGATAAAAAGTCAGACAGTAAAATCATTTTAAGTGTATTTAGAGAAGGGTCATTTTTACATCTTTGGAGGAATGTGTTTTGATTGTGTTCTATTAAGAGAATAGTAAAGATTGCCCTTTAAAACATAAGAATCACAAAAGTAAGACACATAAACTCATGTTTTCACATCATTAAACCTGTTGTTCTGCAGATCTCCGTATCTCGCTACTAATATAGTCTAAACGTAGTGTAAACCTGTTTTATGTGTCTTTATTATACATATATATATCGTTCTCAACCTTCATAGCATATTTATAAATTGTTATATAACTTAAAATATGTATACATATTTAATGGCCCGGCACGGCCAGGTGGTTAGGGAGCTCGACTCGCAATTTGCGGGTCGCATGTTCGAATACCCGTCCCACCAAACATGCTCACCCTTTCAGCCGTGGGGGTATTATAATGTGATGGTCAATCCCACTATTCGTTGGTAAAAGAGTAGCCCAAGAGTTGGCTGTGGGTGGTGATGACAAGCTGCCTTCCCTCTAGTCTTACACTGCTAAATTAGGGATGGCTAGCGCAAATAGCCCTCGTGTAGCTTTGCGCGAAATTCAAACAAACATCTTTAATAAAGCAAACAAAAGGCTTCATAATATGATACTTGTTCAGGGAAGGCTGATTGTTCCGTGTTGATGTTTCTGTTCTTAACGCTCCATTTGCTAGACATGTTCGGTGAGTTGATTCCCAAACAAAACTTTCTGGTACTCTCTTCTATTTTTTTTTTTATTCTGAATATAGATTTGAACTCATTGCGATATCTGGAACCTGAATTGCCCATCAGCGAAGCTGAATTATCACTACTTTCAAGGCTATAAGGGAATAGCACAGTATCCCCATCCACATTCTCACATATAGCATGGTAATGGCCGAACATGTACAATACAAAATCTGGTTCCTGAGCTCTATAAAGCCGTTTTCTCCGCGGTTTTCGCAAGTTCTATCGATAGAGATGACCGAGAAAGGCTTAATTGAGCTTCTTTAATGCTGTTTGATGGCTTAGGGTGGTAACTGTCTGAACTTCTATTATTTTGTTCAAGATGAGCACCCTTCAGCCAGCCACCTAAACTGCGAATCTTCATAGCTAAACATTATTGATGGGTGAGGTTTTCTGTTGTTTAGTTTTGTTTTTACGGTAAAGTGTTTTTTTAGGTTAAAAGTCCTTTATCTGAGTAAATATTTTTGGGGGGATGGGGTATCACTTGAATACTGAAAATGACACCCTTCTGTAACCCACTCAATCTCCCAATTTCGGTCTCACCGACTTGCAAACTGAGTGTTAAAATTACTTGCACTGGAATTCTATCTATTAAAATGTGTATGTCGTAAATGAAATCATTTCTCAAGTATAAATTGCGTAATTTACTACTCACGCAATAATCAGCTTTCTGACAAAATTAAACAATTTAATCAAATCAGGCTCTAACCTAAGATGTAAATATTTATCTGTTACTGGTGGGCAAAAAATCTAAAAAAAGTGTACCAGAAGAGTATGAACTAAGACACTGACAAGATGAAAACAACTTCATACATGAAACTTGCCGGGCACGTGGATAAGAAGATTGTTCAACCAAAATAGAATGAACGAGATAAAAAAAATCAACTTTTAAAAACAGCAAATCAAAATAGTTGGATATATTATGCTGTAAAAATGTGAAGGTCATTCCGAAAAGACCTTTCCATAAAATCAAAACTCATGATGAGAAAGAGGAAAATACGTAAAACATTTGAACATCCTTACTATATTAATAATGTTTCAGTTGGTGGTGATTGCTCGACTGAACTGGATAACTAGTGATCTTCTTGCTTAATTTAGATTTCGTTGGTGTATTTTTGAAATAATAGTTATTTGGGTTTGGTCAGTGTATATATCTTTAATGGATGTGTTTTCTAACAGGATTACGTGTATGCTCGATATGGGAATCCAACAAGAAATTGCTTGGAAAGAACTTTAGCGGCTTTAGAAGAAGGACAATATGGTGGGTTGTATCATTGTAACTATGTGCGTGTAGACGATGTTTATAATCTGTAACAGACTATCTGGAGTATCCGTCCCCTGGACGGAAGTTATGTAAATTCATGATAAATAAATTATCTTAGGACATGAAAAGTTGCTTTTCTTTTATGTAATTGTAAAAAAAAACGCAAAAAAACGCTCATAAAAACTGCAAAACACAAAATGTGAAACCGCAGCTTTGCTTGTATCTCCGCATGGACCCAACAAACCTTCATGCCAAATTTGGTGAAGGTCCATCAACGGTGGGCGAAGTAGTGGTAAAAAACGCCCATAAAAATCACAAAACGCAAAACTAAAAATTTGTATGTATCCCCGCATGGACCTAATGAACTTCCATACCAATGTTGTTGAAGATCCATCTACACTCTGCGAAGTAGTTACATGGACATACAACAGACAATAGTCAGTACTATAATCTATATAAATATATAAAGCCAAGGTGGTAAGTGCTGAACAAGAGGGAATCCGCAATAGCCGTGACACTTGAACTTCGTTTAGACAGGATTAGAGTAAATTAATCTACTAGCCCTTTGTTTTCCTTTTTATTAGCTATATTTGTGTGCGCCAGCAATACCATCGTGGGGCGCGCGTATACCCGATTCAATTTTATTACTCATCAGGATCTCTACGAGTCTACCGTCAAATTGAAATTATTTTAGACAGGATTAGAATAAATTGATCTACGAGACCTTGGGCATGGTCAAATACATCAATCGAAAGGGCTTGACCTCCTAACTTCAAAACAGTAATTAAATATCATATCGGTCAAGAGATGACGGAGCTCTGAGCTAAAAGTTGGTACTTGGAAAAAAATAAAAACACTGAGCCATTCTATGAAACCGCTCAGCCGCGGCTAAAAACACTTTGCGAAACAATGTACTTGATTGTTATAAGAATGAAAGAACTTTAATCGGAAAAACAATTCAAAACAGATAAGTATCGATGATAAAGTATTACTTTGATTAAGAACCAGAGATAGGCTCATGTTCACGTAGTTTCAATCAAAACACAGTACAATTATGTACCAACACAAACAAGAATCTCACGGACAATTATAAACCAGGTTGTCTTCCAGTCGTTTGAAGTTTGAATAAAGTAATACCATATGTTTCGGAACATAAGACGCACCGGTGTATAAGATGCACCCTTATTTTGAAGACAAAGTTTTGAGAGGAAAAAAGCTACAGTCGCATTTGAAAGATTTTTATTGAACAAAAATTTAATTTTATACTTTAAAAATTAGTATATATTGTTCTAAACACAAAAGAGCTCAAAACATCAAAATAAGAAAATACTGTAAATCAAAAAAAAAGTTTACTGTTAGTTAGTTTGGTTCAAAACCTACAAAATCACTGTAATTTGTTTTTTTTATTATTTAGGGAGCATTATAAATAGTTATATTTTTAAAAGAAAAAAACTACTATTGTTATAAATAACACATTCAATTGAACTAAACTATGCATGCCTATTTAAATATATTTACACATGGCTTGTGTATATCCTATATATACATATATATTATTCATACCTTCGGTGTATAGGACGCAAGCAGATTTTGACATCAAATTTTTGGGTGAAAAAGTGCGTTGTATACACCGAAAAATACGGTAACTCCAGTCTCAAATCAAAATGCATTTATATCATCAGAACAGAACAAAAAACCTACGAAACAAAATATTTAACTAATATATATATATATATGCTTACGAAGCTTTTCAAAAATAGTTTCTAAAATGATTTTAAGGAAAGTTTATATAAAAATCAAAAACACCTTAAAGCTGTAACCAAGTTGTACTTGATTTGAGAGGTTTTCATACTCGTGAGCTCCTCCCTACTCTTCAGCGGAGTTTAAGAACACTTTCTGTACTGAGAGCACTTCCATTTACGACAATAGAAGTATGTGTAGAAGTATTTGGTTACTTTAAAACAAAGAAAACTCTGATAAGTTCATTTTAGCAGAGATACTGCATGTACACTGTATATAAAACAGTTCAAAATAAAATCAAGCTTTTTTATTATCCTATTTCTCAAATGTAAAAATATTCTTACCTCTTACGTTCGAAAACATTAGTATTTTTGCAGTGTTGAATTTTGCAACTTTTACAATTTTCTGTATTATTCTATACTGACAATGCATGTTATTGTTGTTTAAGTGGAAAGAAAACTCCTTCAGTGTTCTTCCATAGCAAAGAGAATTCGTTAAAACAAGATATATTTTAAAAGTCCCGTTCTTGAACATACAGCACTTTTAAAATTCAACTGTATATGATATAATATAAATATGGAGTATTTTTGGTTAAAAGTGTACAAAAAAATATTTAATGTTATTTGTTACTGAAATTTAAAAAAAAGACACGTGTATCATTTATGTAAAATTACCAAATTAAACTGTATAATTATGTCTTTCCTTAAGGCAGTAGATACTTTCCAATATTTAAATATTTGTGTTGTAATACTAAATAGAGATAGATATTAATAGTCGTAATTTCGTTGCTTACAGCTCTTTGTTTTACATCGGGAATGACAGCCATTACAGCCATGGTCTATTTGCTATCTAATGGGGACCACATTCTTATCTCAGATGACGTGTATGGAGGTAGGTACAACTAATAAGCAAAAGTTAACAGGTCCGTGTTTAAATAATAAATTACGAAGAAAATATCCTTTTAAGATTGTACTTGGTGAAGATGTTTGTCAATATCGTTAAGCCGCCCTCAGGTGCTCGCAGAACAGGTTCTAGTAAATACATCTTGACATACAAATAAACATATTTTAATAAAGCAGAAGAGATAATAGTTTGTTTGCTTTTATCTACTAGACGGTTCAAGCCATATAATTTAAATTTAACTCATTACCTTATTCGACTTCACAATACTGACTGCTTATGAAATCTACAACATTAGTAATAGCCCTCGAGCAACTTCCGATACTACAGTCCATACCAGTTGCCTGTCACCTTGTCCTTTGGCAATACAGCCACCGTCAAAGTATTTAACTGTAAGTCTGAATGCTACTTTTTAGAAAAGCAAGATAGACCAGACATATACACGCCTGCGCAACGGAGCTCCAGTTATGAGTCTGAAATATCAATATTTGATTTATTTCAGTTCTTTAAACATATTGTAACACCGAGCAACCTGAGTTATTTCAATAATTCAATTGTAAATATTATACTAAAAGCTACTGAGTTATATGTATCATGATTGATATTTCATGTTTTGATGCGTTACTTATAAAGATTATATAACAGAATATACTACCAAATACTACTGGGTTTCATGTAACATGATTTATACTGCCTGTTTTAATCATTGCCTATAAAAGTTATATAACTGATACGTTGATTTTATCATCAAAATTGAAAAAAAAAAAAAACGTGATACACCAAGATCTTACTTTAGATGATATTTGAAAAGCCAAGACCTAATTGATGTTGGATCAGTATTAAAAAAGCTAGCCTGATGATTATATTCCGGTCTTTGATGTTGTTTTAAATTCTAAGGAAATTTGAAACGTCTTGAAAACTCGTGACCCGTGGGAAAGTTAAACATTATATGGTAATGACATGATCCTTAGTTAATTTTTATTTTCCTTAGTGTAGTCCTTTATTGTTGCCTTGGGGTTCCTTTAGGTCCAGCTATGTTCGCTCACTGCTCATTAATGTTTGTGCAATTTCGTTACTGACTAGCAGAGACTCGGAAAACATTTGCGGTTAAATTAGTATCTTCATTGCAACAGTTCTTCTTTAAACACACGATTTCTAGAATAATAAAAAATAATTATAATCACAGAGACCGAAACCTGTAACTTTAAATCCACTTGTCTTAGGCCTAATATTAATTAAGCCTTTATTAAGTACGGCCTATATTCGATAAACAAATTAACACTGTAACTTGTGTAAGTTTTTTTTTGCTTTAGTGTAGCTAGGGCTAGACTTTACCGTACTTAATGTAATCAATAAATAAACTTATAATGTTATTCTACGAACTAACGTTAGTCCCTTTTAAAAACTTTGATAAGCTTTCATAATGTTGTTGTGCAAATTGTCTACTGAAGTATACTTACATCCGCCTTTTGTTTAAATCCGTTGAAATGAAGTGCGCCCGCATTTTCAGGACAGACAAGAACCGAGTTATGAAGTTGATGATGTCACTGCAAATAGTTGTGCCAGTCAAAAATATCCAAATGAAATTTAATTATGAAAATAAAGTATTTTTTCTTTTATACTTATGATATCAAATGTTAGTATTGTAAACTTACTATCTGGTGCTTGTTAATCTGTGTTTATTTAGAGTTTTAAATTATATTACAAACATGTTTAGAAAGTTGCAAGATCAATTCAATTAGAGTTATTACGGGACAAGTGACAGATGTTAAAAAAAAAGTATCGCTTGTCTGAAATTTGATTGTGTTTTGATTATTAGAAAGCCCCCCCCCCCCCCATCCAGCTTATTTAATAAGATCTTCATAAAACGGTAGATTTCAAGAGAGTATGGTATTCAAAGCAGGTGAAGAGGCATAAACTACAACATATATACTTCAGAGGGAAAGACACTTAACTCAGTTTCAACTTGAGACTTCTTTGTGGAAAAGATGCATTAGATCATAATGTATTGTAACTGTATAATATATAGAACATTCAGTTTCTCTGTAAATAGATTTATGCACACTGACAACAACTTTAAATGAAAGTTTTGGGCGACTAAGATCTATTCTTCTACGTGGTATATGTAATTTCATGCATTGCCTAAATCAAAACACTAGTAATAGATATTAATAACAAACCCTTGTCACGGTTACATGTGCAGAAAATGCCACTTGGGGTCAGAGCTCCCTATTACATACATTACAATTTTTACATTTGACCTCTGTAAAACCTAAAAAAGAAAAAAAATCTCAAATATGTCTACTTTAGTATGTGGGGTTTTCCGGGGATACCTTTATGCAAAGTCTAATCTAGATTGGTCGGGATATGACAGGTCAAAAATATAATTATGTAAAATATTTTGACCTTTGTCCCTTGTACAGTCGTAAGAAAAGAACAAATTTCATATCTACCTGCTTCAGTCTGGGGGTTGATACAAAGTATCTTTGTGGAAAGTCTTATCTAGGCTGGTCGAACTATAGGGGAATGGCAGATGAAAATATATGTTTTTGTAATGTTTGACCTTTGACTACCAAAGTTTGGAATTGGGCTTTAAACTAAAAAAAATAAAAATGTCCCTGGGCATACTGGATCAATGTATATGGTCTTTAAAGTTTCAAGGCAATCGGCTCAGAAATATGAATGGTGCAAGACTAATTGCTGGAAAGAACAAGAAAGTAACATAAGAAATACAGTATGTATCCCTTCCCACTGGGGAGACATAAGTATCACTTTATCACTTCTTACATTCGGTTAGCCATTTCTTGTCATTTATTCGTTTCTTCAACTGTAGACAATGGTAAGGTGTATTTGCTATCTTATTCTCAAATTTTGCAAAAGTTCTTTAACTTGATAGATTCATTGAGCCTTTCCATACATGTGTGGAGTTTCTGCTGAAGACATGTCCATCTCTGGAAACTTACATCTAAATTTAGATCCATTACTTCCGGAAAGTATACTAGGAATAATCAAATTGTTATGCAATTAGCAAATCGGATTCATTAAAGACCTTGGCTTGTATTACTATTGTTTACTATTCTTCATTTTTCGTGGTATTTAGCTAATGTTTCCATTGTCGGTTAAAAAACTTGGTATTTATCCAACTGTACTAATTCAGAATTATAAAGTACAATAGAAACACCTTTAGAAGGATTAAAGCTTTTAAGTTTGTCTCCCCCCTCCCCCAGTGAAAACTATTCTATAACATCCAGTTTGTATAGAAATACTGTTGTTATTGTTTTTAGCGGAGAGCTACAATGGGGGTTCCCTGCGCTCTGTCCACCACAAGAAATCAAACCCCGAATTTTAGTATTGTAATTCTGTAAATTTACCGCCAACTCGCCGTAGTACGAAGAGAATGCTTAAGACTTCTTCATCACTACGTTTTAAATTCAAAATATCGTTGAATATATTCAACGTGAAGTTTTCTGTTAACTCAAGACGTACTTTACAGTAATTAAAAAAAATGAGTTCTTAAATTTATTGTTAATTTTAATTTTAATCCGAAATTTATTTTAATCTAGACACCATAAAACAAGTTCACGGCAGAACAGCTACATCTTGTGCTTATTTAAGGATGTAAGGAACAACCAACGTACCTATCGAACATCATTTAGTTCTTTTAAAAAGATGAACAATGAGAGAACAGAGGCTGTCTCGAAGTCCTAATGTAAATAGAACCGATAAATTTCTATCATTAATATTTGTGTGACGGATTTATTATTATATATTTAATTTTAATATCGATGTTTGCTTGAATTAAATTTATATTTACAAATGTGCATAACTTATACAATTA